TTTAAAATAGAAGAAGGCTTATATTTGTGGGATGATTAACTAAGGAGGAGGAGGGCTTTATTTATAACAAAAGAATTTCCCCTCCTCCTTATACACAACCAATGTGGGACTTTTGCCAAAAACCAACAGCTACCTCGGTCCTTCCACCTGGTACTCCTCTTATTTGGAAAGATATCTGGAACAAACTTCAACGCGACGGCGCCATTGATTCGTACCGCACCAGCTACGGTTGGGAATACAATTCAACGGTAGAAATCAAATCAGATGGTGACGCTCAAACCTTAAGTGTCATACTATTCTACTCTTATCCGGTTCCAAATTAAGCTAGCTTTGCTGTGCTTAATTACACTTTGCATATCTAGGCAATCTGTGGTGCGATGGTGAGGCTGTCAAAACTAAATAAAATACTACTTGTTTACACCATGCACTACTACTATTTGAATAAAGTTGACAGCTATCAATAAAGGATTGCCACTGTCTCTAGCTTTTCATTATTGTGTTTTGTTTCTCTCTTATACATGTAATAATTTCAAATAATAATAATTTCAAAATATAACATGTATATCTTTACTTCAGTAACATCGAGTCGTCATTCCAAGCAATCCTAGAATAATCTAAAATTGTATTAAAAACGGATATATTGAATTTATGCTTTTACGATTTAACGTCCCTTGTAATCTAAAATTGTATTAGGTTTTTGGTCAAACCCACTCGATGAGAAAAATATATATTTAATTTGATTTGATCCGAAATATATATACATTTCACTCGATCTGACTTGACCTGAAAATATATATTCTCTATCCGAACTTGATCAGACTTAAATTTTTAAAGTATAAATTCAATATGATCCGACTCAACCCAATATAAAATAAGGATCTGATTAAAAAAAACTATAGAGATGGATATTATAACAATTATCCATACACACACACATATATATATATATATATACCCCATTGGTCGGGTCGAAGGTATTTCACCCTCCATCTGAACCCGACTCAATCCGACCTCACCTATATATAAAATCTCATCTGACTTGAACCAAATCCAAATTCTTTAAAAAAAATCCAACCCTATTAAATTGGATCGGGTCAGAATTGTTCGGTTTTGGATTAAATTAAAATCCCTAGATACACGAGGGAGAAATAACAATTTGGTGTACGAACCAAACGACCTCATTGGTTAAAGAGATGGTTATTATCCTTAGAGGTCCTGGATTCAAGCATCAACAATTGCCAGGGTATTTGAGCATTCATTGTCAAATGGTTGAGAGAGTATTTAAAACATATACTTTCACTTATAATCAACCTATAATAATAAAAAAAATAACAATTTGGTGGTGGGTTGGTGAAGAGTAGCTGGCGACTGCAGAGTAAAACTAAAATACCAATAACATTGAGAAATAAATGAGCAAAGGGAGAAGAAAGATAAAAATATGGAAGAATTAATTTCATGTGGTTCCATTGAAGGGAGCAATGACTAACGAGGTTTCTCAGATGAACTGGCCACCAACACACGGGCTATCTAGAAGATGCTTTGGGATTCTTTATAAAGAAGATAATTCCCCACATTCAAGATCTTGGTCATGGTTAATTTCAGAAGAAAGACTTGGACTCAGAGATCAACAAATAGCTCTATTGTCTGCCATCTAATATATGGACTTTACAAAAGCCCTCACCATATTATTTTATTATTATTAAATAAATAGGATAATTACTCAATTCATACATAAAGTGTATCAAATTCTCAAGTCTATACATAATGCTTTAAAATTCTCAGTTTTATACATAATGTTCTTTCGCTAACCTCAAATTTCATTGGATATACACAAATGCCTTCTTTCTATACATGGCGAAAGAATTTTACTTTATTCAATAAAAAGTTATGTTTGCTAAATTTTACATGTAAACACTGATTTTCATCCGGGTCGCCCATTTATTCCATTTTCAAACTTGGACCTAGACCTAAATTTAACCCAAAACCTACCTAAAGCTAAAACCAACTATTAGGCACTACACTCTAACCGAAATACATTGTTTGAAAATCGACTACCACGGCAGAAGAGCAAACAAAGGAGTTTTCCATCCCCGACCATGTATCCCGATCGACACCCTGCAAAGAAAAAACAAAAAGTGAATGAAAAGACCAACAAGAATTTCACTTTTAACCATATGCCATTCAAGACAATCGAAGACAACACTTAGAGACTGGAATGGTGAAAAGATTAAGAGTGACACAAAGATTAACATACCTCAATTTCATTATAATCAGACGGTAAGTAATGAAGATCAAAAGAGAGAAAGTTGAAGATTGAATAGAGTCGGCCAGTAAAATTTGGGCACGAACGATGATTGAATGGTGATGACGACCAAATGGTAACAATGAATGACAACAATTATTGACAATGAGACTACATATAAATCACTCGATTTTAGAAAGATGGAAGAAAAAATAAATCTAGAGAAAGAAAAAGAGAGCAAATAAGAAAGTAAGAAGAGAGATGTCAAGAAAAGGTTCGAAAAAGAGGCATCTAAAGCCCTCCAAAATAACATCATTTTGGGAGGGCTGTTCAGACCCCAAAATGACATAAGTTTGGCAGACGAACTAGTACCCATCCGTGAGCTTCTCAGGATCATCGTGTTTTTAAGTAAATGGGTAAATTCTATTTTTGATCCTTCAAATTTTTAATGCACATTCAATTTAGTCTAAATCACATGATTTATTTGTTTATTGTCTTTTAAGTTTCTGTTTCTTTCAATTAGGTTTTAGGCTCATAGTTATAATTAATAATCCGGCTTGTAGTTTGAGATTTGGTTCAATCAGGTCCTTAAAAATAGGTTAGTTTATAAATTTTGGCCTCTAGGTCCTTAAAATATATGTTTGGCATCTTGATTCCATACTATAAGAAAATCAATTTTAATTTTTTTTTATCATAGAATAAGATTAATGAGGTAAAAAAATAATATGAATGCGTACTAAAGCATAATAAATTCATTATTCATACTAACATTAAATAAAATATACCAAATTCTAGAAACGTCATTTTTATATAGCATGATGAATTCATGCTAACAATAAGTAAAGGGTAAAATGACATTAATAACCCTTTATCTATCAAACATTTGTCCTTTTCAAGATTATTACATCAAAATGATCTATTCGAGTGGATCTCCTATCCATTAAAACTGACAACTCTTTTTAATTTCCCAAGTTTTAATTTCATTGACATAATCGATGCATTATGATGAAATCAATTTGAGTTTTTTTAATAAAATAGAATTAATAGTCTCTAAAATAATATTAATGAGCATTATTTTAGTGTAGAAAATTGAAGGGGAATTTAGATTTTATTGTTACTTTCATACTACGTTGATTGTATTTAAAATAAATATAACGAATAGTAGTAGACTTATGGGCTTTTAACTCACTATAATCTCATTTTTCTTCGAATCTATATGAATATGTTTTGTCGATACGACATGACCTAAGAATTTAACTTTATTATTTTATCTAGTGACTTGTATGGGGCATCGAATTATTGTCATATTAGGTGATTTGTACGAGAGTTCCAAATTATTATTGTTTCAAGTGACTCGTACGAGAACACTCATATTGTTATTATATCAAGTCACTCGTACAAAAGCATCAGATTATTACTATATTAGATGACTCGTATGGGAGTACTGAATTATTATTATATTAGGTGATTTACAAGGAAGCACCACAACGTTTATGAGCGAGGTGACTCGTATAGGAGCACCGAGCTATATAATGAACCCAAACAATTATAATGATAATGATTGAGATATTATAACTAATTGGGTTGTGGTACGTATTGTTAAACAATTTAACATATCCTTCTACCATTTCCATAACTTGTGAATAGGTTTTCCTATAATGAGTTATGATACATCTATAACACTCCATAGATTTTAGTAAGTTGAGCTTTTAGATTAGCTAGAAAACGGTAGATGCTATAATCAATGCCTATATATTTATATATGATTTACATGTTTATTAATTACGAATTTATGAAATATAATAGAATATATTTGTATTCATTAAGCTTTGTTAGTTCACTTTTCAAATTATTTACATTCACAGGCTATAAGTTTCGTGAATCGTGATGGGATAATGATATCATCAGAAGAATCTCAATTGAAATACCCGAGTAACGTAGGGATGAATTATGTGGGCATGTAAAGGTTACAACTTGTTTTTATTATTCGATATGAGTTTTAAATATTTTATACTATTTTATTATGTATCTGATGTTGGTAATGCTCAATCCTACATAGTATTGGAAACACTATTGGGAATATGTATTTAAGGTTTGGATTCTCCACTTCCTTGTTGAGTGAAAGAGAACAAGAGGAACTCTCGCGCGCCGCCGACTGGTTCGGGTTGGGTTGTGGTTACGCGAATACTATTTTTTTAGAGAAAATTCTTGTGAAATTTTTGTTTGGAGCGATTACATACATCAAAGCGAATTTGTTTACAAATTTAAATTACTATTTACCTTTCATATCAGTGCTAACAGTGTGATTTTACAGTCCATATTTTCAACATCTAATTCTCAAATAAAAAAGATCTGATTTTGTAAATTTTATACAGTTTTTATATTTATTATAAAATATTTTTAAAATTTTGAGTAAATCATATTTTTTTAAATTCGAAAAATCTCAGATCATTTTGATGTCCTTATATATCATTCAGAAACTCGATATTAAGTAAATGACAGGTTTAAAGTGTTAAATAAGACTAGGTCAAAGAAGACCCCTCATTATTTTGCAATGATGTAAAAGGATAATGGTTATATTTTGAAATTATTATTATTATTATTAATTGATATTGTTACAAGTAAAAGAAAAAAAGACAATCAGACGCACATTATTCAAAAGAAAGAGCTAGTGGCAATCCTTTATTGTTTGCTGTCAAATTTATTTAAATTATTAATAAAAATAAAATAGTATTGCACAGCATAAGCAAATACTTTTTTATTTTAGTTTGGACAGCCTCACCAACACACCGGGGATTGCAGTAAAAAGTAATTAAGCAAAGCATAGCATAGCTTAATTTGTTGGAATAGTAGAGATTTTGGCGGTTAAGGTTTGAGCATCACCATTAGAACTGATTTGTACTTCTGAATTGTATTCCCAACCGTAGCTCGTGGTGTATGAACTTTCGACTTTGTCTGGTCGAATGGTGCTCCAGATTTCTTCCCAAATAACATTGGTACCAGCAGGAAGGATCGAGGTAGCCACCTGTCATCGATAAATAAGCTCATTATTATATATGCTGCATAATGAAAAACAAAATAAAATATAGATTTAAGGTAATTACTAATTATAATGATACACATCAGAAGTAAGATAATTATATTTACTTGATTATTAGCAGTCCAAACAACGACCCATGTGGCTATATTTCCCATAGCATACATAGCAGATCCGAAAGTATTGAGCGATGTATTCTGCTGGAATAAAATCGTTTGAAAGCTCTTAATCACGTTAGGAACGCCTTGATAGGTCGACGAAACCAACATTGCAGTGTCACCGCTCTGATTTGAAAGCGTGACGGTTGTGGGTGTAGTAGGGGTAGCCATTTGTTGTTAGCTCAACTAAACTTATGTATTTGATTTTCTTCTCTTGTGCTACATACCTGCTTATTTGCACATATTTATATGCAACTTTGTACCATAATAAGATAATGTCAAATAGCTTTATTCTATGTGAAAAACAATAAAAAAATATAATTTTATTTTTATACCATTAATCACATGTCCATTAAATAGAATATAAAAGGGTAAAATGTCATTAATAACCTTTTATCTATCAAAGTTGTCTTTTTCAAGATTATTACATCGATATGATCTGTCTTGTCCATTAAAACTTGGATAAAAGCCTATTACCCCAATGAAATTTAAAAAATGACATTAATGGCCCCATTGACTATAAAACTTTTGTCGTTTCTCCATTCCTTTTATTCAAATCATAATAAATTATATAATATGATAAATTCATACTAACATTAAATAAAACATGTAAAATTGTGGTACCTCTAGCAAAGGGTAAAATGGCATTATTAGCCTTTTATCTATCAAATTTTCGTCCTTTTTAACAATCAAACCAAACCTCCAAATAAACAGTCACGCCTACTAAGTAGAACACAATTCCTAACAAAAGTGAAATTACTTCAGAAGGAGTTAACCTCTGAAGAGGAACTCAAAACAAAAATTTACGCCAACATATAGATCATACATAATACAAAATTAATCGGGAATCATATATGCTTGTGTAATATATAACAGAAAAACAAAACATACCTACAGTCATAATTATACAGTATCGTAGTGTAAACATAAACAGTTACGCACTCAAGGAGATCCACATAAAGTAATTCATTACATGATTGAACATTGAAACATAAAATATGGTACTAGTCAAGGAATACACTTGTATCAGCTAAACGATATATAACACGGCAAGGATGTTTCTTTGTCAGCCATTGAAGAAATCAGAATAACAATTTCTTTGGGAATAGAAAGTAGAAAGATTTTAATACCCGATCAACAGGAAAAGAAAATACAGATTTGCTTATTTGTTTTTCCTACTTCGCTCTGCACTAATCGATTGAAGATTCAAGGAGTCAAATTATATGTAGTGTCCTACAACACTTCACATGGCAATTTCCATCTGCTGCAAAGAGCTTTCTCAAAAATAGATGGAGAAGAGCGTGGTTTTGTTGTTCGTTGATAATCTTATGAAAATACCGTAGGGTAAAATTACGAAAATACCCTTATGTTATAAAAAGATAAGATTTGTCTATGGAAGTTGGATAAGAGGTTTTTAAAGACATATTGATATGATGAAACTACTGATGTGCATAAGAAATGCTAGTTTTGCTTAGAAAATATAGATAACCGGTTTTTTAACCCAAGAGGGTTTGTAAAAGAATATAGGAGTCTGTTAAGGGAACCATTTCAAGATCAGAAAATGTTTGAGAAAGCAATTAATCATAGGATCTCTAAATTATATTATTTGGTTAAGAGTTAATACCGAAATTATTTGGTTAAGAAATTACAAAATTGCCCTTGAAAGGTAAAAATAGTCCAAGTTGACTCTAAATGGGAAAGTAACCTGAGAATTTGTACTTAAACCGATAAATTACTGATTTGATTGTTTAGTTCCTACTTTTTTATGGAAAATTCCTGATAATTCGTTAGTAACATCTGAAAAGACTTTTAACCTGGAAATCTCCGATTTAAGAATAAATTATCAATGGTGCTCTTTTGTCAGAACTATTCAAAAGGACTGGAAAAGATGATACTTTTGAATTAAATAATAAGATCAGATGAATGGAAAGGATTGAAATGCATCGGATCTGTCAGAATAGTTCAATGGGACTGAAATAAATTATAAGTTTGAATTTAATAATAAGATCGGACGGAATAAATTATTGGACTACAATGGATCTGTAAAATAACCAAAATACCCTTAGAATGAAAATGACCAAAATATCACCAAGCTCAGGAATGATTGGATATCCTCGAGCTCTAAAATGAATGGAATAAAATTGAACACCAAATGACCAAAATACCCTTATGGCCTATACTAAGTAAATGACTTGGATTAATTAAGGAATCCAAATAAGCATAGGTGTTGGAGTACCTTTAAAAGTTATGGAACACAGCTTAAGTAAGCCGATTAACCTTAATGATATGTCAGTACCTAAACGACATAGATATTACTTGAATACGTGTTCGTCTTCTCAAGTTTGACTCGATGATAATTTTGGAAGTATACAGCTAAACTCTAGATCGCATTCAGTACTAAGAATTGGATATTTGTTCGATAAATCAACCATGAAAACCAAACTGAACGAAAGTACAATATGTATCTAAAATTCAGGAACGTCTGAATTACTCTAGAAAACCCCGAAGTAACTGGAATGGACTTGACTATTAAATGAGCTAAGTAACCGCAACGACGGAGTATTAAGTAAGTGATTTGGATAAGTTTGGAAACTCTGATGAGTTTATAAGATGTACTGTCCTTATGGGTCATGAACTACAAATTAAGCACGTCATTATTTCATGATATCGTGGAAGCGTGGAAATGAAATAAAGACCATTGAAAGACCTATTCAGTGATGTTTCTGAAGATTATTTATGGACAATAATTATTTGTATTAAAGAGTGAATACCTGAAGGAAAAAGAATGACCCGATCAACATGTATTAGTTCTGGGAGTTGTTCAGCTTGAGTTATTTCGATAATCCGATAGATCGACACAGACTGTAAATGTCCCGAACCTTCATTTCTTCCTTATCAGTTCAAGTCTCATTATGAATAATTGATGATTCAGTCGGTTATTGAACTCATCCAATAATGATTTTAAATTCCGACATTCTATCGGTATATTGAAGATCCGTGTTTGTCTACATGCTAAGATTATCTAGTACCTCTGAATAATATATGTAAACTCTAGTGTGTTCCCTAACCTCATGAATATTTTATCTGATTTCCAATTTGAATTCTGTTATGATACTTGACATGGATTTTGATTTGATACTTGACCTGGATTTTGATCTGATACTTGACATGGATTTTGATATGATACTTGACCTGAATTAAGTTTTGATTTTTGATATATCCGTTTACGGACGGAACATGTTTAATTTGGAGTGTTTGGTTGGAGGGTTTTACTATAGTTTTTGGTATGGTTCTGGGGAACCTACACATTATGGAGTGTTTTGGTTGGATTGATTACTATGGTTTTTGATAAATGTTTTATAGGAGGGTGCTGTTGGAGGAAGTTACCGTTACTGCATGCTACTTTGCTTTGTGCTCAGGGCCTTACTTGGAGTGTTGGTGGTTGTATGGTTTTGGGGAACCTACACATTATGGAGTGTTCAGTTGGAGGGATTAATATGGTTTTTAAATAAAGATATGTTTTAAATTGCCATTGTTTTAAAAGAAAAGATCTGAATATTTTCATTGGTTTTGCAGGAACACACTAGACAATCTGTTATGATCTTCCGAACCCAGTCATCCGAAATATTTCCCTTCGAACGAAAATATTATTGTCTGTTACTACCTGAGATATTAATGGGACCTCAGCTCAGCCTAAAAGTCTGTATATGTCTGAATCAATAAGGAAATATACGTTTACTGTATCTACACGTTATTCAGTATCATCTGGTAGTTTTGTATTACTGAGCTTTCAAAAGCTCACTCTGTTACTCACCTTTTCAGGTTAAAAGAATTGAACAGTGTATTTATCGATATCAATAAATAAGTTATTCCGGCGTTGTTTGCAGAGTATGGTACATGTGATTAGGGGGCATGTAATTGTATTTTGTTTTATATACGAGTATGAAAATCTGTTTTTTTTCTACATACTGTTAAATCATTTTTTAAGTTACATATTTTAATAAAAGTTTTAAATTTTCCGCTATTTTTACAGTGGGTCGCTCCGGTGGCCCTAATGTGACACTCCAGATCGAATCGGGTTACCCGTATCGGTCAGAGGGGGTTACATTCAGTAATATCAGAGTTATGGTTGAGTCAAAATTTTCAAGCAAGACCGGCCGGTCGAATTTTAAAAGATGCCTGATCAGTACATACCCTAGACTACAATCGTACCTCTCTGAGCCGGAACTCCAGGGCTGAGTCCCTATCTGTAACGAGTAAACTAAAGTTTCTATCCGTTAAGGCTATGCTTGTACAAAAAGAAATACCAGTAACATCTATCTAAACGTTGTAAAGTACCTCACGAGCCATGTGAGAGTTATTTATATGAGAAATTCTGACTTGACTCCGGAAATCAAATTGGGATATGCTACTGCTCTATGAGCCTATTCTCATGACCAAGACTGAATTGATTACTCAAGGAAATTTTAGTTCGGATTCTTTTATTGAAATGAGGGAGAGTTCTGATAAGAATATATACTCAACTGGTTAAGGATTAGTGGAGGATCCATATTTCTATAAGAGCTACATGAAAGATAGGAAAGAACTGATGAAAGTTTCATTTATGCAATTATGTGACATAAATGAATTTCGAGGACGAAATTCTTTTAAGGAGGGGAGAATTGTAACACCCCAATTTAGGGGTTAAATTTTAGAAATTACAAAGAATTGGATTTAATTAGTATTTTGGAAGAAATTGAGGATTAAATTATAAAATTGTAAAGTTGGCAGACCGTTTTAAGAAGTGCAGGAAATTCAGTGACTAAACTCATAGTTTACCCATTTTTTATGGGATGAATTATAAACCCCTTCGCCGATTGTTTATGTGCATTTTTCCCAGTTTTCCCTCCCCTGTCAACCCCTCTTTGAATTCCGATCTACTCACCGTCCGACCTTCAATCGACGAACCAAAACCACCATCGTGTTCGTTGTCAATCGATGAACAAATCCCCTCAAACCTTTCATCTTTAATCGTCGTCGTTCGTCGTTAATTTCAGTCGGAAGTATTATCGGTATTAACTCGATTTCAGTTGGTTTTTCGTTGATTCATGATGATCTGACCATCCGTTTTTGATACCTCCCGCACCATCGTGTTTCTTGCATCGTTCCAACTCCGCCGATGTCATCCGTTTCTCTGTCGTCGCCGGTGCGTGGAGGGGTGAGAAAGTCAAAGTTTTCGATGTTTTGG